ACTACACACCCACCACCTACCTCATTACTATTGTTTGTTTCTTGCATTCTCAGTAGAACATAGGGCTTCAGCGAAGCACCACTAACTTATTTTGTTCGACTACTGCCAACAAGATTTCATTTCCTCACCACATGAACTGTATGCCACCCTTGTATCGAAGTCCACACAGTTACTTCTAGTACGCCTGCTAAACAAAGGCATGTCATGACTATGATGTCAATTAAATGTCTGCTTGGTCTATATCCACTCCACTCCATCTCTTCTTTCATTTGGTTATTCATCGAGCCTATAGAGCCAATGAATTCTTCTCTCTTCGAGTTCTATGTTGATTATTCTATATGGATAGCCATTTAATCTTAAGTATCAAGCAAACATAGCTTATTAGGCTGTATACTCTATGTTCAATAGTTAAAGGTATGAGGCCAAACAATTTTTGGAGAGAATCAAACGTATATACAATTAAGAATAAATGTTAATTTATTCTCATGCAAAAATATAATCTTAATACCTATGAAAGCCAAAATAAACCATTTAAAGCATTTTCGTATCGTTTCGATCAAATAGAAAAAGGAACTAGACAATACTATGCTGGTGGTTTTTTCACATAGAAATAACAGTAACTTTTCAAAATTGTTTTATGCGCAGGAAAATATAGTTTAGAAGTGCTTTTATCAGTTGTTTTAAATCATTTATGTTATAAAACCAAACCATTTTTGCTATTCTGAGAATATACGAAGAAATATATATATATATATCATTAACGACTATAGAGAATGAATACTAGTAAAAGGAATTAATCTTTTGCATAAAGTGTACAGATTATGCTTTTTTTTCCGCTCATTTACTGATTTAGTTTCATTGGTATGCCTAAAGGTGTTTTCCCCACGCTTTCATGCATAGTATAAGGAATCAGTAATTCTACCCAGTGGTGCGTCGATGGCACATCGGCAGAATGTTTGCCAACCACGCATGTGATCCGGTGTTCGATTTCCGGCCAACGCAGTCCTTTACCTCGTTAAGGCAGTAATAAGACTGGCAAAGAGGGAAGGTTGGGCATGAGGTTAGCAACCCCATCCTGTAAAAGTAAACATCACTGCTACAGAAACTCTAAGCCTCTAGCTTGAAGATCTATGTTCCAATGGGAGCGTGAAGGAATAAAAAAATAATAAAAATGTCTACCCTGTAAATTCAGCAATCCCGGTTAAGTTTCGATGATAAGGTGATGAAAAAAATAATAATAATTGTAAGTTGTTCAGTAAACTGAAAGTGTGACTATATGTCATCATCACTGATGTATTCAATAAATTATAGGATTAGAGTAATGACGGTACTAACATAGTGCTTTTGTCACCGCCAATGCTTATTAAACAGATACCATTTCCTACGTATCGTTGTTGCATTACTATATCACATTCGGTTGACGTTCAAATTTAACTTCAAACGTAACAATAATAATTGGAAATTAAATGTTCTGAAATGTTCACTATAAAGATTTGAGTAAGTTTTTAGGAGGAGCATATACAATGGTTAAGATCACAGCCAAACTTTTACACATATTCATATCTTCTGTTCTTTGAAACCAATGTGAAGACGTAAAACATGTAGTGTATTGTATAAAATCAGATTTTTCAACACTGGTGTCACATCATACTTTTTAAATGGTTCAGAAGCTTGGTGTAGGGAGCGTCACGTAACGCATTCGCAACAGACATTCATCAGGACCTACTAGTGTTCGACACTCAAGTTCATCTGGCTGAATGGAAAAGATAAGCGACAAAGACCTCAGGCAGGCAGTGAACCTATTGCTCAACAGATATGCAGAAGTAAACCAAAATGGGTTCGTCCAGTGATACCACACATCAAGCAGGGAGTCGAGTGGAAACCATTATTGAAAGTAGTGATATGGCTGTGGGTGCGAGGTTCACATGGATAATATCATGACTGAAGGAAATGAAAGCATGTATGCAGTGCTAGATGAAGACTTACCAGTGTAGCCTTATATTTCACTCGGAACGTGAGAAATGAATCAACAGTGGGCGTAGAAACGGTATCTGGAACCACTTGAAAAATAACTGTGGAACTCATACGGAACACATTATTATGTTCATATGATAAACTCAGAAGTATAATTCCCCCTCCCCTATTCCTTCGTCATTTGGATAGTGTCACTCTGTTATGTCATAATGCGCGCTTGTATTTGTTTACATTGAGATATTCCAGGAATTTTAATATTCATTCACATAGGTTTCAATAACAGTTTAAAAGATATTAGCTTTAATTAAGTCATGACGAAAAAACCCTACTGACTGGCCATACAGATATGAAGATTATCTTTCTTATGCTTAAATGAAGCATAGAAAAGACGAAAGGATCACACATATACAACAGGGTCTCTTATTCATCGCCACACAACAACAGTATGTGTTTGAAAATATCAGTTTTCTATTGCACAGTAGAATTTGAAGCCTTTCGACACAGAGTACAAAAATATAACGATGCTAAAAGCTTTACAGAAAGATTGATACTGGCCAGTCTTCAGTGTATAGTAAAACTTAGGGTTGAATTCAACAGATGTATCTATAAGCCACTACTTACTTGTTAGTAATACTCCTGTTTCAGACTGATAGCTACGTTTATCTGACTGGTTCATTGTCTCCTTATCATGGTCTCATAAGAGTACAGCAATTACTGAACTCAATGAAGTACATTCGGATATAAAATTGGCACAATAGCCTTCCTGGATGTCCAACTTACAAGAAAACCAGATGGTAGCAGAAAAAGGAATTTGAATAGAAAAGGTACTTGGGCAGGACAATAAATATATTTACACAGCTTTGTTCCTATCCAGTAAAAAGAAATTCAGTGAAGACCATCAGACACAGAGTTAGAGTTATATGCTCAGAAAAAGTAACTGAAAATGAATTAAGCACTGGAAAAAATACAATATTAGTTTGTTAATTAGCTGTATCACACAGTGAGGGGAACAGTATTATTTACTGGATGACGTTTCGAACACAATTTATTGTTCATAATCATATCAATTTTGATCACCCGACTTTGAAATTTTAGTTTTATAGTTTCCTTTATCTTCTCCTATTTGTCGTAATGGTAGTAGAATTTTCCATATATCTGGGTGGACAGGTGTTGAATCATTTCTATTCCAGACAGGTATTTGCAGTTGATTCGATAAACAAAGCTTCTGTTATCAATCTCTCCCTATACCCTGTGACATTAGATTTTAAAACTGTCATCCTATCCCATTCAGCCTATTGTATGGTTGTGTGTCACTGCATGTAGTGAGTGCTATAGCTGAAATATTTTCTAGATTTCTTATCTTGTTTGGGTCAACCAATTTAGATTTAGCTAGGTTTTTATGTTCGGCTAGTCTGACTGCCCCTGTTCTACTAGTTTGACCTATGTATTTGACCTGACAATCATTGCAGACAGGGTATTAGATAAACTAAATTGTTTTGTTTTAAAGGCTCCACAGGATTGATCCTTTAACCGACAAAGCTTGTTTCTAATTGAGTTTGTGGGTTTGAATGCCACTTTTATTCCTGCCTTGTTAAGGATTCTGCGTAAGGCTTCCGAGGTTCCTTCCTTGTATGGAATTACTGTTGATGATTTAGATTCCTTATTGTTGGTGTCGTTATTAATATTATTATTATCACTATTATTATTACCATTATTATTATCATTATTATTGTTATCATTATTATTATTATCACTATCGCTATTATTATTATTTATTTTATTTTTACATTTACTTACATATTTCTTGACTAATTTATCCGGGTAATTATTAAGTTTCAAGGCTTCTTTTATGTGTCTCACTTCCTGTCTTAGATTTTCCTTGGTACTACTTAGTTTTTGTGCTCTGTCATTTAAACATTTCACCAATCCTATTTTTACTGACATAGGATGGGATGACCAGAATTCCAAATATCTGTTTGAGTGTGTGGGTATTCTGTAAACACTAGTGTTTAACTTCCCATCTTCTTTCCTTTTTACGTTGCAATCTAACATTGGAAGTTCCCCTTCCTGTCTTTCCAATTCATAAGTGAATTGAACTGCCTCCACCTTCGAATTGATGTGCTCAAAAAATCTATTTATGTCCTGTGTTCTAAGCACGGTGAATGTATCATCTACATACCTCCACCATACTTTTGGGTTGGGGCTGAACGTTTCAATCGCTATCTTTTCCCACCTATCCATGAATATATCTGCTACAACCGGGGATATTGGTGATCCCATGGTAACTCCCTCAGTTTGTTTGTATATTTTCCCTTGGAATTTAAAAACTGTAGAAGTCAAGCAAAGCTGCACTCCCAGCATTATGTCCTCGAGTGGCACTTTTGTCCTAAGTTCGAGTTCTTGGTCAGAAATGAGTTCGTTTCTGACTACCTCTATAGCCATATTTATTGGTATACGTGTATATAAACTGACAATGTCAAAACTAACCATTTTTTCTTCATTATCTAGTTTTAAATTATCTAATCTGTGTTTTAGTTCATAAGAATTAGTTAGTCTAGATTTCGAGTGGATTTTCAGGGATTTAATACCAAAACTGAAGCAAGAGATGAAAATCATCGTATTTTTATCATTCGATGCTTAAAAATTTAATCCATTCCTAAATGTCTAAGTCTACGAGTTCCAGTTCCAGTGGACAGAGTGAGAAGCAGAATTTAAAGCCTACAAAAAGTATGCCTGAAAGAAGAGATCCACAGAATCGTTAAAAAGTTGCAACGTATCAGATGTGAAATTGAGCAATTAAAACAAAAGCTTAAAGGAATAGTTACCAATGTAGATTATGATCTTATAACACCATCCTCCAACAATTCAAAATCAACGGGGATTGATAAATCACATTGGGTTATCAATCTCTCATCATCCGATGGAAATAAGTGTATTAGAAAAGGGACTAAACTTCAATGTAGCGGTGGACAAGCTAAAACCTGAGGATGTCATCCCTAAAATAGAATAGCACTAAGTGGGATAGACAAAACAACAGCTGAAGAAGTACGTGCACAATGTGCACTTACATTAAAACGACAAAAATGTGGAAAACCTAACCGACAAAACAAGAGACAGAAGCCCTAAAACACCTCAAGAATAACAAGGATATAGTAATCACAAAGTCAGACAAAGGGAACGCAACAGTAGTATTAGACAAATCGGACTATTTGGACAAGGTAAATACTCACATACAAACAGGACCATAAGGAAATTAATAAATCAATAGACACAGTTATGAATAAAGTTAAGAAATCCACAGCGGACCTTATACGCCGAATGAAGCCGTTTCTAGGTGAGTCTAAGTGGTTTAATTTAATGCCAAAAACTAATAACCCCAGTAGGATGTATGGTGTTGTTAAAATTCATAAATCAGGATACCCTATTAGGCCTATAGTTGATTTTAGAAATTCACCTACCTATGAATTATCTAAATATTTAGCCATGGTATTAAATCCCCTAAAAATCCACTCGAAATCTAGACTAACTAATTCTTATGAACTAAAACACAGATTAGATAATTTAAAATTAGATAATGAAGAAAAAATGGTTAGTTTTGACATTGTCAGTTTATATACACGTATACCAATAAATATGGCTATAGAGGGTCAGAAACGAACTCATTTCTGACCAAGAACTCGAACTTAGGACAAAAGTGCCAATTGAGGACATAATGCTGGGAGTGCAGCTTTGCCTGACTTCTACAGTATTTAAATTCCAAGGGAAAATATACAAACAAACTGAGGGAGTTGCCATGGGATCACCAATATCCCCGGTGGTAGCAGATATATTCATGGATAGGTGGGAAAAGATAGCGATTGAAACGTTCACCCCCACCCCAAAAGTATGGTGGAGGTATGTAGATGACACATTCACTGTACTTAGAACACAAGATATAGATAGATTTTTCGAGCACATCAACTCGAAGGTAGAGGCAATTCAATTCACTTATGAATTGGAAAGTCAGGAAGGGGAACTTCCAATGTTAGATTGCAACGTAAAAAGGAAAGAAGATGGGAAGCTAAACACTAGTGTTTACAGAAAACCCACACATTCAAACAGATATTTGGATTTCCGATCATCCCATCCTATGTCAGTAAAAATAGGATTAGTGAAATGTTTAAATGACAGAGCACAAAAACTAAGTAGTACCAAGGAAAATCTAAGACAGGAAGTGACACACATAAAAGAAGCCTTGAAACTTAATAATTACCCGGATAAATTAGTCAAGAAATATGTAAGTAAATGTAAAAATAAAATAATAATAATAACAGAGATAGTGATAATAATAAAATGATAACAATAATAATATAATAATAATGGTAATAATAATAGTGATAATAATAATATTAATAACGACACCAACAATAAGGAATGTAAATCATCAACAATAATTCCATACAAAGAAGGAACCTCGGAAGCCTTACGCAGAATTCTTAACAAGGCAGGAATAAAAGTGGCATTCAAACCCACAAACTCAATTAGAAACAAGCTTTGTCGGTTAAAGGATCCTGTAGAGCCATTAAAACAAAACAATTTAGTTTATCTAATACCCTGCAATGATTGTGAGGTCAAATACATAGGTCAAACTAGTAGAACAGGGGCAGTCAGACTAGCCGAACATAAAAACCTAGCTAAATCTAGATTGGTTGACCCGAATAAGATAAGAAATCTAGAGAATAGTTCAGCTATAGCACTACATGCAGTTACACACAACCATACAATAGGATGGGATAGGATGACAGTTTTAAAATCTAATGTCACAGGGTATAGGGAGAGATTGATAACAGAAGCTTTGTTTATCGAATCAACTGCAAATACCTGTAATAGGAATGATTCAACACCTGTCCCAGATATATGGAAAATTCTACTACCATTACGACAAATAGGAGAAGAAAAGGAAACTATAAAACTAAAATTTCAAAGTCGGGTGACAAAATTGATATGATTATGAACAATAAATTGTGTTCGAAACGTCATCCAGTAAATAATACTGTTTCCCTCACTGTGTGATACAGCTAATAAACAAACTATTATTATTATTGACTACCACAATGCCCATGTTTAAGACATATATTAACTGTACATAATACGTTGATTCACAATAGCTATCCTTAAAATTCTATCGAGAAACACATAAGAGAGAAGGCGGGAAAATACTACTCTCTATGCGTAAGCCTGAAGCGTTTTTACACACGACTAAAATTGAAGGGCGATATACTAAATGAGATATTTATGTGGAAATTAAGAATATCAGTTCAAAGAATTTTTATTGCTGCCGAACTTCACGTCTTTTTCTCTACACGGCCGATGGTGATTCATAGACTGAAAGATGAAGTACCTAGACTAGCTAGTCACTTCTATTTGTATCTACCAATTCATCTTCGTCGATGGAGGAGCGAGTTGTAATGGCCGTTTCTCTAGGAACTTGAATTTTTGTTCTCGAGAAAATCTCCCACTATGGCTAAGTAAAGGTGTAGTGAAAACCATCAACAGTTCGATATTGGTCCACCTGGTGAAAACCGGCCACAAAGCCAGCCAGCGTTGAAGAATCCTTCTCTATAATCTACTGGGTACCTAATAAATTGCCAAAAATATCGAAGCACCGCAGGCTTCAAACAGCAGAGAGTATTGCAATTCGCCTCAAACAACCAGTGCTCTGTGTTCAAAAGAAGCACGTCCAGCCCTTACTACTGCCTTGGCTTTCAGAAGAGACTATAAATTCATGAATTTGTAATATTATCTTTCCTAATTTTTCTTACATTCAGCTTACTTTTATGTTGATGCTATTGAGGTGTAATCTATTAATATTATTGATTCTATGTTATTTAAACATAAGTGTTGTTCATAACACTAATTCATTCATTCACTATCATGTAAATATAACTGTAGAGCCTGATGATGAATTTATCGAAAAGAGTACTCTTTGTTCAGTATCCATTCTTTTCAAAATATTATTCATCAATCCTAGTGAAATTTTAAACTCTTTTCTCTTCAAGAGTGAAAATATGCTTTGATAATGGTCGTCTGTCTCTCTGTTTTCGACATAGAGCTTTGCACAAATGTGCGGAAGTTCAAGTCGCCACACTCGTGTAGCACGCGAAGCAAGAGAAGAAAGTACAAGAAAAGCATAATAGAAACAGTAAGCAGAGGTGTGAGACAAAGGAAGAGTAATAACGAAGAACAAAACAGTTTCATTGAAAATCATAAGTCACAAAGAGTGGATGCATCTGCGCCACTGAGAACGATTTTGAGCCATGTCACCAATTGTTTCCAACCATAGATTTTTACCGTCCCGAGGACCCCAGCCTGGAAGTCTACACCTTCCTACGTGGCTTAGACCAACTGTTGTGGATTTCATTGACTGGTGCCAAGTTTTTGTTTGACCGCCGCTAGCTTTTTTCCAGCCTGACCTATATCCGCTGACATTGCTCGTCGAGGGAGGCGATGGCTTGGCATACGTAACACATGTCCTTTGATGGTGATGATAATGGTAAAAATAACTTTTACAAACAAATCGATTGTATTAAGCCCAAAGGAACCTATTTTTGAGATGAGAATTTCAGATTTGTATAGTACAATCTATTCACCTTTGCATGTAAAATTGAATTTAAAACAAAATACTTTTTCAAAATATTCTAAGTTACTTCCTAAAATAAGTGAAGAAAAAAGTATCCTAGGACTATAAATTGACTAGATGGTGTTCAGTATATGCATATATTCTGTTTAATTTACAAAAGTATTAGTTTTATTGCATTGTACTTTTGCAATTCACTGATCATTTTAACAACTAAGGCACAGTATCCAACTGCTTCTAAGATAACAGGACAATATAGTTAACTAAAGGAAAAGAAAAAATGGAATGATCTGAATGGTTTACAAGAGTTAGTTTCTAAGGATGGGATTCGTTTCAAGTTTGACCACATATTGATACCAGTTAGTGAAGCATTGAAAACCAGAGAGTACTTGACAGCTATTTCGTCCTAGTCTAGTACTCATAGGTGGTATGCACTCAGTGGGGTTCGAACGCAGGACATTCTGGTTACAAGGGAAGCTCGTCTACCATTCAGCCACTGTAGCCCAATTCAGTGGCAAGTCCATGAATTCTAACTTCTATCAATTTGTGATTTAGCGCGACCACCGACTAATGTTGTCGGTGGGAAATCCATCCTCACACTTGGCTGGTTGAACCTCACGACTTCTCCCTAGAACTCCAGGAAACTCCGTCTTGTAGCAAGTGAGCATCAGATTAATTTTAAAGAGTTGGTTTATACGAATTGATATCATTTAGAGAACTATTGAAAACCAGCTGTTTCATCCTAGTTAGGGAATCATCGGCAGTACACAATTACTAACAGGGTCCGAACTCAGGACCTTCCGGTTTTAAGGGAAGTTTGTAATCCATTTAGCCTCTGAGACGTGATTCGAAGCCTGATAAATTCTAAAGTCTTTCAAGCCAATATTTTAGCGAAACTACCATTCAACCCCGGGAAGTGAGTACTAACGATGAATCCCAAACTAGGATGAAACAGCTGTGCAGTACTGCTTGCTGGTTTTCATTGTTTCTTTTACTGATACCAATTTGTAGTCAGATTTGGTTTAGACTATACCAGTTAAAAGATAATTTTTTCTGTGAACTTTGCGGAACAGTGTTTAGTCGGATATGAAACCGCTAATGATGATTTAATGTTTCTCACCAGATATTCTATATTTATTCGCCAGGTACATTTTTTATATCATATGTATTTTGGATTTTTTATGCAGCTGAAGATATATAAAACCTTAAGACAAAAGCTAATATTCGTTGTCAAGATGCTTGGCGTCTTCAGTGTAAAGGAGTGCTTCTTCTTTTGTCTTATCCAGTCTACGACAATACAGTCGCATATAAAAGAGGTAATATTACAGTTGGATAAGGGAATAGGTGACAGTCCTAAAAAATTGCGTATTTGTTCGAGGCTGATATATCATACGATTTTGTATGTGTTTTACAAGACTATATGTACAGCTTTAATTGTATACTTAGTTTTTATATGTTAGATTGTAGGGATTTGATTAGTTCCCAGTTTTATCAATAATTAAAAGCCAGGGATTGCTGGGCAGCTTCTTCTTACTAGTTTGGAACTCCTCAGCACCTCGGCCCCATGACCTCATCAAAGATCGAACTACAAACCTTCAGATTGCGATCCTAGCTCGTTGACGAATTAGCCACTAAGGCGTTGTCCGATGGCCCATGAGTTCTAACTTCCTCCAAATGGCGATGTATAGTTCCCCTGATAGCCAATGTTACGGGTGCGACCTGTTAAACCAGCCCAAACTAGAATGAAGCTGCTGTCCAACATCTCCGGTTTTCAGTGTTTCTTCAAATGGTAACAAGTTTTGATCACAGATATATACTTAGTTCACTTTCATATGTCTGAGAGTATTTCTTATCAGTATAAACTGTATTTTAAAAACCTATTTGCTTCACTCACTGTGCTTTGTATTTTAAGATTAGGATAATTCAGACATGTTTAAATGAATCAGTCTTGTCTTGTTTGAAGTCTTTATTGACTGCAAAAAACAACCAGCCATATTTATAAATAATTTATATAGAGATTGTATATTTTATCATGCTGTCAATGTCCCTTCTTTTCAACAAGTTTGAATGATAATATTTAGAAAGCGATAACTAGTTCATTGACATTCTAGTGATGACTTTTTGATGGAGAATAGCTGTTTTAACTAAAAAATATTATAAATCCAAGATAATCAACTTAAAATGAATGAAACACAAGATGATAAGAGCAAAAGTCTTTTATGTTATCTGTGTTGAACTTTAGCAAATGCGGTTATTTAAACTAACAATTTTCAAGATATTCAATAAGTTTAATTCTCCAATCAGCCACTAGAAACT